TCTTGTAGCCCATTCCAGCCTTGTGTAGGTCTACAATCTTGTCCCTGACATCCTTGGAGAGCTCTTTGGTCTTGGCCATGGTGGAGAGTTTGGAATCTGATTGATTGATTGCTTCTGTGGACAGGTGTCTTTTATACAGGTAACAAGCTGAGATTAGGAGCACTCCCTTTAAGAGTGTGATCCTAATCTCAGCTTGTTACCTGTATAAAAGACACCTGGGAGCCAGAAATCTTTCTGATTGAGAGGGGGTCAAATACTTATTTCCTTCATTAAAATGCAAATCAATTTATAACATTTTTGACATGCGTTTTTCTGGATCTTTTTGTTGTTATTCTGTCTCTCACTGTTCAAATAAACCTACCATTAAAATTATAGACTGATAATTTCGTTGTCAGTGGGCAAACGTACAAAATCAGCAGGGGATCAAATACTTTTTTCCCTCACTGTAGGTACAGCAAATCCCCTTATTGTATGGGACACCTTTAAATGTGCCTTTAGAGGCCATGCAATTCAGTACTCATCTCAAGAAGAAACACATTAAGGTCCTGGAGTGGCCTAGCCAGTCTCCAGACCTTAATCCCATTGAAAATCTGTGGAGGGAGCTGAAGGTTTGAGTTGCCAAACGTCAGGCTCGAAACCTTAATGACTTGGAGAAGATCTGCAAAGAGGAGTGGGACAAAATCCCTCCTGAGATGTGTGCAAACCTGGTGGCCAACTGCAAGAAACGTCTGACCTCTGTGATTGCCAACAAGGGTTTTGCCACCAAGTACTAAGTCATGTTTTGCAGAGGGGTCAAATACTTATTTCCCTCATTAAAATGCAAATCAATTTATAACATTTTTGCGTTATTCTGGATTTTTGTTGTTGTTATTCTGTCTCTCACTGTTCAAATAAACCTACCATTAAAATTATAGACTGATCATGACTTTGTCAGTGGGCAAACATACAAAATCAGCAGGGGATCAAATACTTTTTTCCCTCACTGTATGTTATGTCGGAAAAAGTCAGTTATAAATTCCTTTGTCCTAGTTAAAAATAAATTATCATCCAATAGGCTTTGATTAAATTTCCAATATCCTCGCCCACGTTGAAATTCAGTAAGAGTAATGTATATGCCAATTATATGATGGTCCGACCGCATTCTGTCCCCTATCAACACTTTTTTAAACTTTTGGTGCCAACGAGAATGACATAAGAAAGAAGTCAAGACGACTTAGTAAGATGTTAGTTGTAATAACAAGTTAGTAAGCGTTAATAAAAGGAAAGAAGTGTTGGAGTGTTTAGATACGAAAGGGTAAGGACTTACTTCATAAACTGCACAAACTTATTATTAGACAGTAAAAGTTTAGTAGGAAAGTACACTGAACAAAAATATAAACTCAGCATGTAAAGTGATGATCCCATGTTTCATGATCTGAATTAAAATATCCCAGAAATGTTCCATACGCACAAAAAGCTTATTTATCTCACATTCTGTGCACAAATTTGTTTACATCCCTGTTAGTGAGTATTTCTACTTTGCCAAGATAATCCATCCACCTGACAGGTGTGGCATATCAAGAAGTTGATTAAACAGCATGGTCATTGCACAGGTGCACCTTGTGCTGGGGACAATAAAAGGCCTCTCTAAAATGTGCAGTTTTGTCACGCAACACAATGCCACAGATGTCTCAAGTGTTGGTGGAGCGCGCAATTGGCATGCTGATTGCAGGAATGTCCAACAGAGCTGTTGCCAGAGAATTGAATGTTAATTTCACTACCATAAAATAATAATGGCAGTACATCCAACTTGCCTCACAACCGCAGGCCACGTGTAACCACGCCAGCCCAGGACCACCACATCCGGCTTCTTCACCTGCAGGATCGTCTGAGATCAGCCACCCGGACAGTTGATAAAATTGGGTTTGCACAACTGAGGAATTGCTGCACAAACTGTCGGGAACTGTCTCAGGGAAGTTCATCTGCCTACTCGTCATCCTCACCAGGGTCTTGACCTGACTGCAGTTCAGTGTCGATGGCCACTGGCACGCTGGAGAAGTGTGCTCTTCACGGATTAATCCCAGTTTCAACTGCGCAGAGCAGATGGCAGACAGCATGCATGGCATCGTGTGGGTGAGCAGTTCGCTGATGTCAACGTTGTGAACAGAGTGCCCCATGGTGGTGGTGGTGGGGTTATGGTATGGGCAGGCATAAGTTACGGACAACGAACACAATTGCATTTTATCGATGGCAATTTGAATGCACAGAGATACCGTGACGAGATCCTGAGGCCCATTGTCGTACCATTCATCCACCACCATCACCTCATGTTTCAGCATGATAATGCACAGCCCATTGTCGCAAGGATCTGTACACAATTCCTGGAAGCTGAAAATGTCCCAGTTCTTCCATGGCCTGCATTCTCACCAGACATGTCACCCGTTGAGCATGTTTGGGATGCTCTGGATCGACGTGTACGACAGTGTGTTCCAATTCCCGCCAATATCCAGCAACTTCGCACAGCCATTGAAGAGGAGTGGGACAACATTCCACAGGCCACAATCAACAGCCTGATCAAATCTATGCGAAGGAGATGTGTCGCGCTGCATGAGGCAAAATGGAGGTCACACCAGATACTCACTGGTTTTCTGATCCACACCCCTACCTTTTTTATTTTTATTGACTGATTTCCTTATATGAACTGTAACTCAGTAAAATCTTTGAAATTGTAGCATGTTGCGTTTATATTTTTGTTCAGAGTAGACAAAAATAGGTTAAAGGATACGAGTAGGGTAACAGTAACGGGGCCATCCAGGCACTAGTGCTACAAAATAAACATTCCAGGTCGCACAGCAAAAATATTGACAGATGTAGGATCTTAATTGTATCACTCTTTTGTTACTGAGAATTTTCCACATGTACAGCAGGAAATACAAACTTGAAATGTATTTGTCACGTTCGTTTAAGGACGGGTCAGACCAAGGCGCAGCGTGAAATGTAATTATTACACCGAATAAACACACTAACAAAACAACAAACAAACGAAACGTGAAGTCCTAAGGCGACAAGACAAGACAAGACAAGACAAGACAAGACAAGACAAGACAAGACAAGACAAGACAAGACAAGACAAGACAAGACAAGACAAGACAAGACAAGACAAGACAAGACAAGACAAGACAAGACAAGACTATAACCGGAACAAGATCCCACAACCCCTAATTGCCAATAGGCTGCCTAAGTATGCTCCCCAATCAGAGACAACGAGCGACAGCTGCCTCTGATTGGGAAACACACCCGGCCAAACATAGAACTACAAAACCTAGATCACAAACATAGAAAATACAACATAGAATCTCCACACCCTGACTCAACATACAAGAGTCCCCTGAGTCAGGGTGTGACAGTATTCAAGGTTTAAAAAGGCTTCTAAAGTGTGTCATTTCCATTTAAAATAGTCCGACTTGATTTGCCCTTCAGAGAAATGTATCAAACCCCTACAAAAAAATTATATTTATTACAATCCACATAATAATTCACTTTTCCTGTTGCTGCAGGATTATTTGTCTGCTGTATCAAATTGGCTCAATTTAAGATCCTACATTCGTCTCCCGAGTGGCGCAGTGGTCTAAGGCACTGCATCGCAGTGCTAGCTGTGCCACTAGAGATCCTGGTTCGAATCCAGGCTCTGTTGTAGCCGGCCGTGACCGGGAGACCCATGGGGCGGCGCACAATTTGTCCAGGGTAGGGGAGGGAATGGCCGGCAGGGATGTAGCTCAGTTGGTAGAGCATGGTGTTTGCAACGCCAGGGTTGTGGGTTCGATTCCCACGGGTGGCCAGTATGAAAAGTAAAAAAAATGATGTATGCACTCACTAACTGTAAGTTGCTCTGGATAAGAGCGTCTGCTAAATGACTAAAATGTAAATTTAAAATGTACATTTGTAGGAGCATATGTCTCGCAATTTAGAGCACTGCTTTGCTTTATCTTGGCCAGGTCGCAGTTGTAAATGAGAACCTGTTCTCAACTGGCTTACCTGGTTAAATAAAGGTGAAATAAAATAAAAAAAAGAGCCCTGATTTGTGATAAAAAATGTAAAAGTTCAACTCCCTTATAGGCAAATGTTTTGTGTTTGGGAAAGACCAAAGCAAGAAGGACATTTCCATTACTTTCAAATGAAGGGACACCATTACATATCTTAGGGGCAGTGATAGCCTATTTTAAAGCATTGCTGAGATCGTTTTCTCTCAGAGCATATGGGGCCAATCGGTCGACTTGTCATCAGGAGTCTCTCACATGAAAAAATACTACAGTTTACTATAGAATACTATAGTACTTACTATAGAATTCCATAGAATTCTGTAGTAAACTGTAGTAAACTGTAGTAAACTGTAGTAAACTGTAGTATACGGTAGAATACTATACTTCACACTGTAGTATCCCTCAATCATGTGTAGTACTTATTACAGATTTTCATAGTTTACTGTAGAATACTAGTGTTATCCGCAAAAAAAACGTTGTAGTAAATACTACAGTAATGTCCGCAAAAACACTACAGGTTTTTAACTATAGTAATAGTATCAGTAACAGTATTTTTAATTTGCATACACCCCACCCATTCCGCTCCCCATATGTCAATTTGTGCCACCCGTAAGCGAGAAACCTACATGCCAAGTATAGACCATATATTGTGTTACCTACAGGTTATAGAACAGAGCAGAAGCTCTGAATTATTTGTTCAGACTCCAGTTCTACCTCCCTACAGGTTATGGAGAATGTGCTCTTTTAGTATTTGTCCAATAGGTTTCCTCCACTTATACTGTATGTCAAAGATAATAAAACTAAAACACTATGGTAAATACTATAGTAATACTACAGTATTTATACCATAGTATACAGTACTATATTATTTTCTTATGTGGGCTAGTGTAGTAGTACTGCCTGTCTGATCCATAGATATACATATTCTGTGTGGTCACATGCTTCATGGGTCTGACCTAGGATTTGTAAACTAACCTACTATGAGGAGGCCTGCAGCAGGAACTGAGAAGTTCTTCCCCTGTGGGTCTTCAGCAGAGCTAGGCAGAACATCGTCTCCCATGAAGCACACACCAAATCCTCCTTCTCCTCCAGTCCTTCACTCACCTCTACCAGAGAACGGTGGACATGATCCCGCACCACAAACCGATCCATGCTAAGATCCAATAGAATGTTTACATCAGGCACACCAACATCACAACAGTCAGTGTATTGTAACTTGAGGCCGAAATGGAGACAACTATACTTGGAGTGTCTAGTAAGTGTAAAATGATACATCCCCACAGACCCTTTCCTAGTGGTCACCAGCAGTAGGTCATTGAAGAGGAAAAAGTAGATGTGACGGAGATTCCAGTGACCAAAGATGTTTCTCTTTCTCAGAAAGCTCTGTCGTAGCCGGCCGCGACCGGGAGACCCACGGGGCGGCGCACAGTTGGCCCAGCGTCGTCCAGAGTAGGGGAGGGAATGGCCGGCAGGGATGTAGCTCAGTTGGTAGAGCATGGCGTTTGCAACGCCAGGGTTGTGGGTTCGATTCCCACGGGGGGCCAGTGTGAAAAAATTTAAAAAATAATGTATGCACTCACTAACTGTAAGTCGCTCTGGATAAGAGCGTCTGCTAAATGACTAAAATGTAAATGTTTGATTAAGAGTTCTGGACAAAATCAAATCTCATTCTCTGATCTCTACTGATTTATCGTGGCTATTTAATGTTACTTAATTGAAAAAAAAATCATATTTTGTATTTTTATTACCTTGCGTTCAAACTCAGTCTTGTGCACAATTTCCTCCATCATCTCTCCCCACCTCCCTGTTACAGGCCTCAACTACCTGAGGGGTCAGAGGGCACGATGCTCTCAATGCCATTGGGTGGAAATTGTGTTGGTCCTGTGTGTCTAATATTATAAAGTATTGTCAAAACTGTTCGCTGCTCTGGCACTCCAATTGTGGAACAAGCTCCCTCACGACGCCAGGACAGCGGAGTCACTCACCACCTTCCGGAGACATTTGAAACCCCACCTCTTTAAGGAATACCTGGGATAGGATAAAGTAATCCTTCTACCCCCCCCCCCCCCCGCATTAGAGTTACAAAACAGGTATGAACAAAGTCTCTGTTGTAGCATAATGCACTACAGTACCCATAATGCTCTGTCCTATCTCACTACCAATATAACTGACACATAGAATGAGCACATCTGAGACCAGGGCTCTTTCTAAATTCTGTTTTTTCCTTGATTCCTTGCATCCTCTCTCCTCGCATCCTTCTCAAACCGCATTGGACGAGAACATCCAATGTCCCTCCCCTCTAGCCAACTCCTCCAATGTATTTTGAGAAGGAGGTGAGGAAAGAGGACATGAGGAAAGAGGAATTGTGAAAGAGCCGAGGCAATATTAACCAGTTTTCTTCACATACCCCAGGTTGTGCATGGTCTGTTCCTGGTAAGGCATGTTACGGATCTAGTCCACATAGGCACCGAAGTGGCTGCTGGTGTGGCGATGGATGACATCACACAACATGTCACATAGCAGGTTAGACTCTAGCTCCTCCTTCATTGCATCAAGAAATCTGACAACACAACGGTCTTCTCAGATCAGTCCTCAAAGGCACAAGCTAATGCATTGGTCTTTGTACAGGGGGGGAGGGAGGGAGAGAGAGAGAGAGAGAGGGAGAGAGAGAGATGGGAGGGAGAGAGAGAGATGGGGGAGAGGAGAAGATTGGAGAGAGAGAGAGAGAGAGAGATAGGGGAGAGAGAGAGATGGGAGGGAGAGAGGAGAGCCTCTCGAGATCTGAGTTTTTCTTTTTCTTTTGTTTTTTGGTCTCTCTCCCCCTCCTCGAGCGTTCCTAGAAAAAAAATTAAGAGTGAGAGACAGTGAGAAATAGTTGTGCAATGCAGTTATCCATACATTTGTGTCCATCAATCACAATGAACAAGACATCTATTGGAAAGAAAAGGCTTTGATACATGCATTACTAAAAGAAGAAAACAGACTAATAATACTGTATACCTCCTGTAGCAGCGTATCTTGCTTGTTGGGGTGTGCCAGTATTCCACTCTCTTGCACAAACTCTGCGTTTCTTCCAGAAGGTTTTTATTAATCCATTTTTCTCTCTTCAGTTGGCCTTCAGCTCGTCTGTCTCAGCAGCGTTCAGCCCCTCCTGTCTGCCTCTTGGGAGCTGTGTATAATGCAGATCAGCTGCTGAGACCTCCATGGATCCAATGTTTCTGTTCTCAGTGTTCATGTGGACCAGTCTCTGAACATTACTGTTTATTTTTAAAGTTGGGAGGGGCTTGTCAGGGGGGAGGAAGTCTGTGGACGGGGTTGGTACGTAAGCATACGGGCTCCTCCATATGTCCTGCTACCAGACCTGTTATGGAAACAAGAGAGCTGTCAGGATACTGTATCTGTCAAAGTATTAGAGGCCAATGTACTGTGTTCACTAGTAAGTGTCAAGTTTATGCGCAGTCTGTAATGAATACACTGGAAGTCTTACTCACCAGAGCTCTCACAATAAAGACATATTAGTGTAATAAATGAAGGGTCCTACCTGAGTCTCTGCCATGTGGGTTAAGTGTCGGTCTGACTCTGAGACCAAGCTCTGGAACAGGTGTGAACCTGATGGAAGCCCCTTGTTCCTCTGCTGGTGTCGGTCTGACTCTGAGACCAAGCTTTGGACCAGGTGTGAACCTGATGGAAGCCCCTTGTTCCTCTGCTGGTGTCGGTGAAGATGCAGATTGGATCCTGAAAGAGCCAGAGTTTATAACTTCAGATTAAATAGAGTCCCCTGGCCATTGATGAGGGTTGGTAGAGACTTGTACCTGGTCAGTTGTCCCTTTTCCTGACCATGGTCCCCTGCTTCACCTGTACAGGTGTTCCTGTTCGGGACAGTTACAGTGTCCATCGCTCCCTTCTGGGCTGGGGTTTGGGTGGAACCCGGCAGGGAAACGGGGGTTTAGGAGGTAGAGAGGTTGGTAGGGGCCCTGATGTGTTCTCAGTACCCATGCAGACCTTTTTGGATCTCCAAAAAGCACCTAGAGGAATGTGAAGAAACAATGAGTATGAGGTGACTGGCTCCGTGTATGAGGTGACTGGCTCCGTGTATGAGGTGACTGGCTCCGTGTATGAGGTGACTGGCTCCGTGTATGAGGTGACTGGCTCCGTGTATGAGGTGACTGGCTCCGTGTATGAGGTGACTGGCTCCGTGTATGAGGTGACTGGCTCCGTGTATGAGGTGACTGGCTCCGTGTATGTATGAAACATAGAACATGGTGGTGTTTGTGATCTCTACTAGGGTTGTGGTCAAAGCCATTTAAATTCAGTCAATTCAGGAAGTTAACTGAAATTCAATTTCCCACTTTCCTTATGGAATTGACCCCAACCTTGTCTAGAGAGGATTTGTGATGGCAGAGAAAACTGGGACAAAGGGAAAGTTGAAGCAATGCAATAGGTATTTAAAAGTAGAGACAGAAAGCCCCTTCCCCCACTAAGTTCCACAGAGGAAACCTGCAATTGACCTGTACAGTCAACGCAGCTGTAGGTCCCTGAGAACCAGCTGAATGGGCTACTGCCTTTACAACCAGGGACTGTAACGGACAGCCAATCTCACCGTGCCCCTGCTCGTTGGCAACTGATCTAATGACAGTCCCCGTGTAGCTCAGTTGGTAGAGCATGGCGCTTGCAACGCCAGGGTTGTGGGTTCGTTTCCCACGGGGGGGGGGGGGCAGTATGAAAAATGTGTGCACTCACTTAACTGTAAGTTGCTCTGGAAAAGAGCGTCTGCTAAAATGACTAAAATGTAAAATGATAGGATGGGTCCCAAATCATTGGCTATGTAGTGCATAGAGCTCCGGTCAAAAGTAAACAGAGACATTCCATCTTCTGTAAACATATTACGGTAGCCTGGAGCCTCCAACCTAACCCCCTCAATTAAAAGCTAATAACAGAGGAATTTAACTGTGAAATGGCCTGGTGTGAGACTGGGCGTGAACAGCTGGGTTAGTTCCCTCAGAATGAGCTAATGGAGTTTTGCATCTGCGGAGGCAATTAGCCGGCACTTTTGTGAATAGGTCTTTGTGTAGAGGATCCATATGAAGCGTCTCAGAGGAGGAGGGCTGATTTAGGATCAGATTGCCTTTTAGATCCCAGATTTGATTGACGGGAGGGACCTGATCCTAGATCACCACTCCTACTCGTATACACACCACCCCAGAGAAATCTCCTCATTCCTCTCACGTGTTTTGACACATGTAGGAAAGATAAGTACATTGAGCTGAAGGCAAACAAGCACTGTGGCTGGATGGGACATCACACATAAATCAATGGTTTCATTCTCGTCATTTAGCAGACACTCTCTTCCAGAGCAATTTAGAGTGAGTTTATTTTTTATTTTTTTCATACTGGCCCCCCATGGGAATCGAACCCACAACCCTGGCATTGCAAACGCCATGCTCAACCAACTGAGCTACATCCCTGCCGGCCATTCCCTCGACCTATTGTGCGCCGCCCCATGGGTCTCCCGGTCGCGACCTGCTATGACAGAGCCTGGATTCGAACCAGGATCTCTAGTGGCACAGCTAGCACTGCGATGCAGTGCCTTAGACCACTGCGCCACTCGGCAGACTAAAGACAGATTTACGGAGCTTAAAGACTGTTACATAACAGAACAGATTTTATATTCTGGACTCAGACCTGCGTCATAATGAAGGCTAAAATAAGACCCTTTTTTTTGTCTTAATTTGATTTTAGTTTCAAGACATAACAGAGAAGGAAAATAGCTCTTCGATGACGAATGGACTTGCAAGCCCCATGTCCAGACATCACTTTCACACAACCATTTCACATAATACATTGCACGGTATGATAAACATCAAGTGGATCAAAAAGGACACAATCCAACTGTGAAAAAAATGGTTGAATCAACGTAGATTCGATGTAATTTCAACCAAAAAAGATCTATGTGATGATGTTGAATCAATGTGGAAAAACGATTTGATTTGCTAGATACATACAGAACCAGAGAAAACTCTAGTGTCTGTACTTAGTTTCTGTACTTAGTTTCTAAACTCTGTACTTATTGTCTTTACTTGGTGTCTGTACTCAGTGTCTGTACTTAGTGTCTGTACTTAGTGTCTGAACTGAGTGTCTGTACTTAGTGTCTGTACTTAGTGTCTTTACTCAGTGTCTGAACTGAGTGTCTGAACTGAGTGTGTGAACTTAGTGTCTGAACTTAGTGTCTGTACTTAGTGTCTGAACTCTGTAGTTAGTGTCTGTACTTAGTGTCTGTAGTTAGTGTCTGAACTGAGTGTCTGTACTTAGTGTCTGTACTCAGTGTCTGTACTCAGTGTCTGAACTCTGTAGTTAGTGTCTGTACTTAGTGTCTGTAGTTAGTGTCTGAACTGAGTGTCTGTACTTAGTGTCTGTACTCAGTGTCTGTACTTAGTGTCTGAACTTTGTACTTAGTGTCTGTACTTAGTGTCTGTACTTAGTGTCTGTACTTGGGACGGGAGTCATACCATACAATACTGATATCAGATTGTGAATGAAAGCAAAACTTCAAATGCTTTGTTTATATCTAATAACACTGCCACAAAATTAGACAATTACTGCTCCAGGAACCTGTACAATGACTACTGTATTAGCATGGTAATACATACAGCCCTGTTCCACCCTACCACATAGACAGGATATTAGCATGGTAATACATACAGCCCTGTTTCACCCTACCACATAGACTGGATATTAGCATGGTAATACATACAGCCCTGTTTCACCCTACCACATAGACTGGATATTAGCATGGTAATACATACAGCCCTGTTTCACCCTACCACATAGACAGGATATTAGCATGGTAATACATACAGCCCTGTTTCACCCTACCACATAGACTGGATATTAGCATGGTAATACATACAGCCCTGTTTCACCCTACCACATAGACTGGATATTAGCATGGTAATACATACAGCCCTGTTTCACCCTACCACATAGACTGGATATTAGCATGGTAATACACACAGCCCTGTTTCACCCTACCACATAGACTGGATATTAGCATAGTAATACATACAGCCCTGTTTCACCCTACCACATAGACTGGATATTAGCATGGTAATACATACAGCCCTGTTTCACCCTACCACATAGACTGGATATTAGCATGGTAATACATACAGCCCTGTTTCACCCTACCACATGGACTGGATTATAACAGTAAGTCCATGGACCCAGTGGGTGCATCTCTTTATCTGCTCACTAAGGAAGTAGTACAGGTGAAAAGACAGGCAGGGAAATTGAATGTTTTCACGTGTGTCCTTGGATCTAAACGTTTGACTAAAAATAACTGTAGCCTCTTTGAAAAAATGGCGGATAGTATGAGTTGAACATTAGCTACAACAACCAACACAACTTTACTGCTGCGTTTAATGACTTGAACTACTGTTGATCATATACAGCCAGACACATTCGGTGGTAGCTATAGAATGAAAGATACAGCTTTATTTTCTGTACACCCCTATAACACTTGAATTCACAGCACATCTGCAGCAGCTATCGATCAATGCCGATTCTTGACTGGGGACTCTGAGGTAATGTCACGTTCGTTGATCGACGGGTCAGACCAAGGTGCAGCGTGATATATACGTACATGTTTATTCAACTTAATAAACACACGACAAAACAATAAACGAACCGTGAAGTCGTAAGGTAGCACACACACAACATACCTTACAAGGAACAAGATTTACATTTTAGTCATTTAGCAGACGCTCTTATCCAGAGCGACTTACAGGAGCAATTAGGGTTAAGAGCCTTGCTTAAGGGCACATCGACAGATTTTTCACCTAGTCGGCTCGGGGATTAGAACCAGCGACCTTTCGGTTACTGGCACAACGCTCTTACCCACTAAGCTACCTGGACAGTGCCAATAGGCTGCCTAAGTATGGTCCCCAATCAGAGACAACGAGCGACAGCTGCCTCTGATTGGGAACCACACCGGCCAACATAGAACTATACATACTAGATCACAAACATAGAAAATACAACATGGAACATTCACACCCTGACTCAACATATAAGAGTCCCCTGAGTCAGGGCGTGACAGGTAGGTCATCTGGTATGTGGCTCAGCACTCCTCAGTATTTTGGACAGCGGCCGCAGGGTTCCCAAACACACCTCAGTTCTGACAGTCCAAATCCGCAGTGTTTTCCGTAGCAGTTTTCTCACAGTATGTTGCTATCCCTTTCCCTGAGTTCAGCACAAACGAAACCCCAGTCTAGTCTATCGGACATTAACATAATGCATCAGCACAGGACCGTATCGTCTCTCTCTCTCTCTCTCTTTGGGAACCTGATTTAGCCACTGTCTGCAAACAGGCAGATACTGAAGGGGGTTTTAACTGTAAAAGTTTTTGGGAAGAGGGAGTATGAGGGAGACTGTCGAGCTGGCTCACGTCCAGACATCCAAGCCACAGATGCATAATCTCTCTAGACATCCGCATGGCCTCCCGCTATTTTCTAATGATCCTAGGGTCTGGTTTTAGAAAGTAACTGCAAGGAAATTCAGCTGAACTGGTGTTTGACCTCTATTGAAGCCTGCAAAGAAACTTTGATGTTGTTTTGATGAGGTTCAGGGTGGTAAAGTAACATATCCTCCTATATTATATCTACACTACTGAAATATGTATCACACCCATTTGGGGCGCTGGTCATATCTTTTAAGCCAGGTGCCAGTACCCAAGCAGTCAAACATTTTAGGTGCTGCCTGGTACTCGGTACCGGTGTGTACCAGGCCGGCCCAATTCAAGCACTGCATGTCTATGACCATGGCCGGATCACCACATCTGGGGCCCCGGGGCACCTACCTCCAAGGGGCGCCTGTCATTCCAAATTATGTCCCCCTGTCAAAATAATTGTAGACCTCCACAAGTCTGGTTCATCCTTGGGAGCAATTTCCAAACACCTGAAGGTACCACGTTCATCTGTACAAACAATAGTACGCAAGTATAAACACCATGTGTATGTAAACTTCTGACCCACTGGGAATGTGTTGAAATAAATAAAAGCTTAAATAAATAATTATTTCTACATTTTACATTTTAGTCATTTTAGCAGACACTCTTATCCAGAGCGACTTACAGTTAGTGAGTGCATACATTTTCATACTATTATTCTGACATTTCACATTCTTAAAATAAAGTGGTGATCCTAACTGACCTAAGACAGGGTATTTTTACTAGGATTAAATATCAGAAATTGTGAAAA